CTTTCCCCACCATTTTTCAAAACAATGAGAATGGACATAGATAAGCAATAAGGACTACATCACATCATTCTCATGATGGATTGATGGGTGTGTCTCTTTAATCCTCAATTCTTCAGAATCCAATTTGTATAATTAAAATGTTCTATCAAAAATAGATATTAGATAGGGACATCCGGAGATCTAGTATTAGAGTAACTAGATAGATATTCGGGTCTAAGTATGTAGTTTATGATGATGTATTTTTTTGCCTTGGTCTGTAGCTTATGTTTGTCTGTTTTCTGTGCTTTGGGTCTAGTTGCTGGTGTCAATATCTGTGTGTGTGTGTGTCTTGTGTATGTGCTTTCTTCTACATACACACTTTATTTTTCATGGGATTTTACTATGTTTGTTGTTGTTGTTATCAATATTAGATATTGAAAAGAAATCAAAATTCCTACTTTTCTAGTTCAGATCAAGAAAAATGATCAAAGGAAGAGCAAAGAAACCTGGAATGTCCTCTTGAGTGGTTCATCCACTGCCCAAAATCCAGCAAAAAACAGATTCAGATGCAGATTTTGCCAGATAGACAGCAAAAGACAGAAGATTTGAGTATTAGTAAGCAGAAATTGAGAGGAAAATGGAAGAAATGAAGGGAAAAAACTCACCTTTTTCCATCAATTTCCCGAACTCATTGATAGATTCTTGAGAAACCAAACACATTTCTTCAGATTCTTCTTCCCCAAGAACTTGCAGACCACGATGATTGATAGAGCTGTGGGAGAGATTGAGAATACAAACAGACCAGACAAGTGCAGGCTAAGCTTTAGCTTTAAATGACACTACTGTTAGCCAAAACCACCCACACACAAAAAAATTTGAGGAGGAGAGAAATTTCAACGGAATACAAATAAAGATTCGACTTTTGCTGTCAGATACAGAGGCTTGGGGGGAGCTGCATGAAGGGTCAAGATTCAAGAAAGGACAGATGGGTCCCACCTTGGAACCCCATCGGCCCTCCAGTGATTTCATTCATGCCTTTTGGAGAAGATCAAAAAGAACCCAAAAGCAAAGGGGGAAAGAAAAAGAAAAAAAAAAAGAGGAGTTGGAAAATGGAGGTGGCGCCTCTTTTAGACCTTGACCGATCACCATCTCGTTTGGTATATTCATTCATTCATTCATGGCTTAGGCTTAGTAGGCTTTGCTGTGATGTGCTGTGCGTAACCTCTAGGCCGGGCACCACTTCCTACTCAATTTTACCTTTTTTTAAAGAATCTTATTACACCCGAAAATAGTTTCTCCCATCCCCTCTTAAAAATTCTAAGACTATGAGTTATGGCAAGTTAGGTTGCACTAGGGCGGGTGCGGATACATATGCGGGGGCAGGAATGGGTCGGAAAACGTCATTTTTAAAAATTATAGGGTGCGGGGATGGTGAGAATACGACAAATAAAATATAAAGTACTAAATATAGAATTAAAAATGTAAAAAAACAATACCTAATTAGCATATAATAATTTAATGAAATTTTTTAGAATTCAACAAAAAAATAGTTCAAATCCATATTTTAAACTTTTCATTGTTATTGTTAATAATTTGTTTGATAAAAAAATAGTATTACAAATAACAAATTCTACGTATTTGCAACGTATTTGCAAATTGGGGTTTTTTGGGTACAATTTGCAATTTGACTGAAATTATTTTCAAATCATTTTATATGGAATTAAAAAAAATAAAATTACATATTTAAAAACTACATGAAAAAATTTACAAAACTAGTGGTGACATGACTATATTATTTTATCAAACAAGACACAAAAATAGGCCAACAAAGTGAATAAAGTTTGACCCTGTGAATAGTGAACGTGAACTTTATTGTTGGACGGGGGGAGTAAATTTATAAAGTATAATATTTTAATAAATTTATTTCCTAAAAATATATTAAATTACTAGTATTAGTATTAGAAATTTAGAATATTATAATATTCTACTCCTTCCGTCCCCCAGTTTTTGTCCACTTTCATTTTTGCACACCATCCAATGCACTTCTTTAATCCATTTTATCTTGTAATTTGTATATTAAAAAATTATAGAAATTATATATTAATAATCTATATGTTAAGACAAATCAAACAAGATCACACATGACTATATTTAGGCTTACACATTGAGAGAATTTGATGAGTCAAAGTGCTTAAATGAACAGTTCCAAAAGTCAAAAGTGGACAAAAACTAGGGGACGGAGGAAGTAATATATTTTGTCCAATATAAAAAATATATTAAACGGGACAGTCTGGTTCTAGTAGACGGTCCATCGATATGGGCGCTGTGAAGTGGGGAGGTTCAAACAAAGGTACAGCTAAAGGCCATGTCACGTAAGAAGGTTTTAGCTCATGTGTCTCTCGAGTGAGACACTCTGTCTTGGCCAGTTATCACTACCTCATCCTAAATTCTATCATATTTACAACCAAATAAGTTGAACCGAAAATTAAGTCAGGGTGAACATAAATATATATGGGGACAGAGGGAGTATAATTTATAAAAATATATAAATATTTTAAAAATTTAATAAATCAAAATTATATCTTAATATGAAATCAATTATAATAAATTCAAACTATAACCTAATATTTTTTTCACAAATTTTGATCAGAGTGGTTATAAAAATCATACTATGACGAAAATTTGGGATGGAGGGAATATAAGAATGCAATAATCATGTTCTTTTTTTTTTGAAAAATGAAAGCCTGGATCCGTGGAGTTCTCTCCAAGTTAAGAATTTTCATTTTTCTTTTTGGAAAATTAATTACTGCTTTGGTCCCAAATCTTTTGTCCAGTGGGGTTTTGACATTAAAAGTCAACTAGTATTACACTTGTGCGTTGCACGGGTCATAGTTACGTTACTAATTAAAATCATTTCTAGGAATATAAATTGGTATACAATGGAATGTAGAGATTTCATTATTTTAAAGTAGAAAAGTAAAATGGTTTGCAAATTTTGAAAGACTTCTTTATAAATTACATTACTCGTATAATTCGTGAGAGCATTCATTCGTTGTATATCAGAATTTTCAAACCATTGCAATTTGTTACTCTTATAACTGCAACATATAGTTTCCCATGACTAAATAGCGTTTTCCGTAACAATAATTCAACATGTTGCAGATATTGTCCATGACAATAATTCAATAATTTAACTTATCTAAGCAATAATTCGACATACTAATGTATTTATTTTGGAATTTGTAGTTTTTTAATTTTATTTTTGTATTTAAATGTTACCATTTACATACCCTATGGTATTTATTTTCTATTTTATTTTAGATCACATATTATTTTTACATGTATTCATGCTTGTAAATTATAGTATTAGTAGTATTAATTTTAGAATACTTACCATTGTTACATGTTTCCATGCCTATAGTATTAATAGTATTAATTTATAATTTTTTTATTTTTGCATTTAAATGGTACTTTACTTAGTGTACCGTATTTATTTTTCAATTTATTTGATAACACTTACCATTTTTACACGTTTCCATTCTGGTAAATAGTACTCCCTAGTATTAATTGATAGTATTAATTTGTATTTAAATGGTATCATTTACTTACCGTACCGTATTTATTTTCTAATATATTTTAGAACACTTACCATTTTGATATTTATTTTATTTTCTAATTTATTTAGAACACTTACCTAATTTATTTTTACAACACTTACCATTTATTTTATTTTTGTGTTTAAATGGTATCATTTGCGTATCGTGCTGATGTACCGTACCGTATTTATTTTCTAAATCTCTAATTAGAACACTTACCTTTTTAAAAACATTTTCATGTTTGTAAATTATAGTATTAATATTAATTTTTTAGTTTTTTTTATTTTATTTTCGTATTTAAATCGTACTAATTACTTACCGAACCACATTTATTTTTAATCTATACTTTATTTAAAAAGAGGTGAATGTTTTCCCGCTCATACACGAGACTCATTTATGGAAAGTGTTGACAATACAAATGGTAGTTTAATTATTTTGTCTTAATACTTTCCTTCCATTTTAAGTATGTTTTCATTTTTATTTAAATGTTACACCATTTAAATATTTAAATTAAGTTAAATAGCAGTGAACCATTGGGGAATTATAGTATGGAAATAAAATACAGTATCATTTAAATATTAAAATAAAATTAAAAAGTACAAATTAATAAAGTATGAGCGGGATTAGAATGATTTATTTCAAAAAAACTACAAATTAATTATTTATTTCAAAAAAATATTATAATTTACAAGCACATATGTGTAAAAATGGTAAGTTTTCTAAAATAGATTAGAAAATAAATATGGTACGATAAGTAAATGATAACATTTAAATACAAGAATAAAATAAAAAACTACAAATTAATATTAACACTAAAATTTACAAGCATGGAAACATTTTAAAAATGACAAGTGTTCTAATTAGGAAATTAGATAATAAATAGGTATGGTACGGTAAGGAAATGGAACCATTTAAAAACAAAAATAAAATAAATGGTAAGTGTTTTAAAATAAATTAGGTAAGTGTTCTAAAATAAAAGAGAAAATAGACTACATCATTTTTAGAACATCCTGAATTCCTGGATGTTAATGTCTTTGATTTTCTTCATGCTCTGGCTATATGATTATTCTTTGCTAATGTAGGGTCTTGTTTAATTATTTGTTAGCTTTGGTATTATGATGCAATATGAGACTAACCTTTACAATGATCTTTAATTTAGACATTTACGTGTTAGAAATATCGAAAAACTATAATTTTTGTTAGGACAAAAGAGCATTGCATAACTAGAATTATTGTTAGACATTATTGCCCTAAAACATTATATCACCATAAAACATTATCGTGCTATTTATGAACTGATTTCAATATGTTTTTAATCTTTGAATATAAAATTTGAGAGTTTAGCTTCTGAGAAGCTACCCTTTAGCATTCTTTTAAGGCATAATTTCGTGACACGTAAATTATACGGTTGATAAGAGTAGTATACCCCACCATAAACTCTTTCTTAAACTCTTAAGGAAACTTAGAAAAATTAGCCCTGCTTACTTGAGGAAGGAAACGAAATTTACGGCGGATCTTCTGCGATTGAGCTCTACTTCGCCAATTGAGCTCTTGCGAAGCCGTCTCTTGCAAACCTCTACTTCTGCGGTCGATCTAAACAATACATTCGTCCCAAAATACAAGAACTAACAGCGTACTTTTCCTTTCTCATCTCGACGCAGGGAATTAGAAGCTAATTTCATGCGATTAAATTATTCTTTCCAAATATCAGGTATTGTTTCCTTTGTTATATATGTTGAACGGCTTCAATTGGTAAGTTTTGATTGATCTGTTTTCCTCCCAATTTTTAGGGTTTTTATTTGGTATTTGAATTAATTTTATCGAACAATTCCAGTGCGTCATTTGCTTGGTCGATCCTCGATCCCCGGCTTCAATTGGGTGTATGTTGATCTCGTGTAAAATTTCAGAACACGCTATTGTATTAAGATATTGTATTAAAATATAAGATATTGTATATTGTATTAAAATTAAGATATTTAGACGAGAGATATTGTATTAAAATTTCAGAACACGCTACAAATTTCAGAAATTTACAATCATTTACTAATAAATTTTTTTAAAAGGGGAGAACTATCCATGCCTCTGTCCGAAGAAGCTTGGTGGGAACTTATAAAGGAAGGTTGGACATATGTTTTCACTTATTTTGGTATAGGCAACAATAGTGGAAATTATCACACATCAAGGCATAAATTTCATTGAAACTTCCAACCCAATAACCACTGTCACTCAATGTAGTTGTGAAAAATTCTATTGTATGGAATTCAGTTATATTCCAAGCTGATTCAAACTATCCATACTTAGTCGGTAGTATTCCTTCCATTCCCCTTATACTGTTGAGCTATAGCCTATATTGATTGGTCTACTATATTGAGCTATAGTCCAAAATAGTGAAAGAGTCCAAACGAAAAAAGGTCATTATCACGTTGAAAACAGGAGGGTATTATATTATTGCCTTAGTTTTATAGATCAAAATCACATATAATGCCTCAAATGATTTTTGATGAAGGTTGTTTTAAACTTTGACAAATTAGCATGAAGTTGGATGCTACCTTATTTGGGGAGTATTTGAAGATGTTTAAAAGTTTCTTTGATAAATAGCCATTGGAACATGCGGTCATTGTGATCCAATATGCTAAGATCAAAATGTTTCAAGGTATAAGTGACTTAATGCACTACTACGTTCTTCATAATTCTTTTGAATGATTGTTATTAACTATATTCGTTTATTGGTCATTTAATATTAATCCATTATCATCTCTTATTCATTTAGAACTACCCCTTGGTTAAATGTAGGAAATATTATTTTACAAAATGGCATGTTTGGGACCCGTCTATTCTTGAATCCATAAATTGGAAGAGACACGGGTTATTGAATTGCGACTGTTTTTTTATTAATTTATGTTTGTCTTTTGGAATTTCTTTACTACACGTGTATGTTCTGTATGAAATAGCTAATTCATTCAAGGAGGACTTAGTATTATTGTACGGAGTATTTATTTGTGTTGGCCTATAGTTGGAAGATCAAGTCATTGGAAGTAGGAGGTTGACGAGTTTATAGTTTGGCTTCCCTTATCCAGTGTTTAGTGTTTGTAGGAAGACTCTACTGTCAAACAAGGTTCGAACTTTGAAGAATTGCAGGTAGACTAACAATTCAAGGTGTTAAGAGGTAGGCAATGTGACTGAGTTCAATTATCTCAAATGGCGATATTGTTTGCAATGAGACTATGAGATTATGATACTTAGATGTTGGTCTTGATGATTCTCCAAAAATATTGTGGTAGCATCAGATTTAACCCTTTTTGGTGTGGGAAGGTGAGTGCATAGTAGAGGGAGGAGATGATGGACCTAGATAATACTTTGTGAGTCAAGCACAAACAGGGGGAATCGACAATGGCAGAGCACAAGCTTAAAATTTTTATTGAGTTGGTTCTTTAACAAAGGTAAACATTAATATCATTGATTATGGAGTTGGTTGTTTATCTTGGTTGTTTACCTCTCCCTAAATTCCACTCTATGAGAATTTTCTTGGACTATTTTTGTAGTTATATTAATTGTGGTGTTAGGTTGTTAGCATATAAAAGATGTTAGTGATTTGTTTGAGTCATTTCCTTAACTTTTTTTGTTAGAGCTAACCAAACTACATCATGATTCTTGGTGTGGGTTTAGGTGGGCAGGATGATCGGTCAGTTTGTGAAGCCAAGGTCCGGCCCCTTTGAAGAAAAGGACAACATGAAGCTTCCAAGTTACAGGAGAGACAATGTTAATGAAGATGCTTTCGATGGAAATCAAGGAATATGGACCCAGATAGGATGATTAAGGGCTATACTCAATCTGTGGCTGCATTGAACCGTCTCAGGGCATTTGCTACAAGAGTACATATGTGATATGATACCATGGGATGCCAGAGCACGGGTTTAAAAACCTATCCCCTGGCTTTGTGATTCGATGGTGTGCTGCGAAGGTACAACACCAAACAGAGGTCACGGACGATAACAAAGGTGGATCAAGTACTAGCAACCACTTAGAGCTGAACCATCGTGAATCTAACACCAAATCCAGTAATTTCAGTGTCAACTAGAGCTGAACCATCTAAGAATTCAACCCCAAAACAGGTTTGTTAAATGAAGCCTCCTGAATTTTTTTATTTCCCATGCAACAACTCATGGAGATTGATGAAGAAGGGAGAATCATTGAACTCGCAAGGAAATCAAAAGAGAACTAAAATCTATGAAGGTGAACAAAGAAAAAAAAGAGTTGTTCAATAGTAAGTGTAACTAATGGGGTTTTAGTTCTAAACTATTCAATAAAGATTAAGAAATATCCATTGATATACTCTGTTTTATACCACCATTCTAGGTCTTGATGAAGAGGGAGCTAAAAGCATTACATTCCAAGCATGGGAATCTATATAGATAGCAAAGATGTAATGATTAGTTTACTACGAGATATGTTCCAAGGAGCTAATGATTTTGGAAATGAAGTTATTTTTGGATTGAGAGTATGTGCCTTCCCTCTCTCTCAAAATCATTATGCAAAGTTGTGTTTTATAACATATATTTGTAGAAAATTTGCAACATATATTTATAGAAGCATTAGTAATGGGAGATATATTGATTAGTGATTCCATTTACTCACTGTCAATACATGCACGTTCAACCTTATTTGTTTGATGGGTTACTAGAAAGACATTGATAGAATTGATGCATTTTATAATATGCCAATTTGGGGATTTGAGAGAGACCAATGAAACATTTCAGCAGTGTAGACTGCTTTCTCAATCAATGCTTTTGCTTGATTTCTTGCTTTTATCTTGAAAAGGCAATTGTTAGATATTTATGAGATATACACTAGTCATTTTATGTAGAAATTTTTTTCTTACTATTAGTACTTTAAAATTAATGTTTAAAATCTTCTCATAGAAGTCATCTAAATAAAAATTGTTAGACTGCATCCCACATTAGAAGTTCAAGAGTAAATAATTGGTATATAAGTTCTTGAGTTGAATTAAGTAATTGATTAAATTCAATTTTTTAATGTGATTCAACCCAAGTGTCGTATGATCCAACTCAGTTATCTTTACTCCATCTTAGATTCTATGAATTATTTTTCTAATCAAAATGTTTCATAGGAAGCCATTTAATTAAAGATATAAATGTTCTTTTTAAATTTATCTATATTGGAAAAAAATATGCATCTACTTTACTGATATATGTTTGTTTAATTTTTATCTAATTTAGATGTTTAATTTATAGATCAAAACTAATTTAAAATTCATCTACATTGATACATTATTGTTGTAATGGCACATATTTATCTTTAGGAAATATGTGGCAATTTTTAATATACCACGAAAAAAGAGTTATGATTCAATATGAAAAAATATTCAACATGTTACGAAAATTTACTTTTAAACAAGTCATTTGTTTCTTTATAAACTAGAGTAATTTACTAGGACTAAAACATAATAACTTTCCCAATATAGGACCATATGTTTTTATTTTCCAATGTAAGACTTTTGGTTATTATGAATTAGTCATTATTTAAGTAAATGTTCATTATTACTGGACATTATTCCACCACTAAGACATTAATAAGTCCTATTTAGGGAATAAAAAACTTTAAGTCCTAGATTTGGAAAGTCATTATGTTTTAGTCATATTTAGTGCAAATTTCACTATAAACTACTACTAAAAATATTGAAGACAATACACGAAACCAAATATTGATGACATCTAATAAAAAATATATATACTCCGCAATTATTAACATTTATCCAATAATATTTAAAGTATTTGATTTCTTATTTAATTAACCAAAGGAATAGTTGTTTAAATTGGGTTTCGTGTAATAGTTGTCCAAATAATTTTGTTTTCTTACAATTTTTCTCATGAGAGTTGTTTCCTATTACAAAATTTTCTCTTTAATTAGGCGAATCTCATTTCTTATTTAATTAACCAAAGGAATAGGTGTTTAAATTTGTTCTCAGTAGTAAAATAATAAAGTTTCTATATTAAAGATCTACAATTTCTTAAACTTATCTTATATAGTAATTTTTATTTTAGATTTGAAAAGTAGAGTTGGCAGTTGTAAGATAATGAATGCAAATGGAAAGAAATGAAAGGAGTTAGAAAAAGTTCAAATAAACTAAAAAGAGTTGAAAGTTACAAAAAATTGAAAGTGTCAAATGCCATACTTAATTGGGGAAAATATTTTTTTTGGAATGTTATTTTTTTTAGGGGAAAATGATTTGCATAAAAAATATTCCCCGGCCCCAAGATTTTTTTCTAAAACCCTATTTTTTTAATAAAATCCTATTTTTATAAAATGATTTTCTAAAAACTTTTTGCTTTCATTATCTGTTAAGAATGTTATTATATTAGTTATTGTTGATATTTAATTTGAATAAAAAATAAAAATGCTTTAAAAATAATTCAAAATTTTAAGGCTACATATTTTGTTTTTATAAGCGATCAATACCAATTTTTTATTATAAAGCTTAATTTTGTAGGCTTTGGGGGTAAGGGGCAGGGGCGAAGTGGTGCGGGAGGGGCAAGATTTGTTTTTTCAAAAACTACTTCTGGGTACCCTTGATTTTATGGTAATAACTCTCAGATTCTACATTATTTGATAAATACTACGTGTTAATCTTGATTGTTTTGTAAGAACTCTTACGTACCACATCATCCGAAATATACTCCGAGATCCTTAAATTCATGATAGAAAATCTCAGGCACCAAACTCTTAGGTACCCACTTTGAGGAAACATTATCGCAATTTAGATATTAGATTAAAAGTTTTTTTACTTTGACAAATTAACATACTGACATTTTAACTCGTGCCTCGAGTTAAAATGCAATATGGACGAACAAGCCTCACCCAGACACCCACATTGCTCTCCGAACTTCTCATGAAATGAAAGAAAGAAGTCACAACTCTCCGAACGTTCAATTCTATATACTCCATTTGAGAATTTTCTTTACCAAATTTTAAATGCTAAAATATATTTATTTTACTTTGTTTTTATGTTTGTAATGTTAAGAATCGCATTAGAAATATATTTTTATAAATCCTTTCAAAATAATATATGGATGAAAATTTAATGGGTCGAGTCGACAAAAATTTTGTTTAACCCGTGCATCGCACGGGTTAGAATACTAGTGACTTTAAAGTTGATCACTTATGGCATTCTTGTAAAATAAAATGTTTAAAAATCATCTTAAATAGGACTAAAACATGGAGAAAAGTATCAAAATATGACTTTCATGTTTTTTTCGAAATAGGACTTCACACTGTGGTAATGTGGTTGTAATGTGACACTGTACATGTGCATATTACTATATTTTTTGGTAATTTACATGACTATGTTTGGTAATGTAAATGCATTTTAAGTCCTATTTCGGGAATAAAAACATAGAAGTCTTATTTAAGTATATTTTCAATGTTTTAGTCCTACTTTGATCTTTCTCCCAATAATATTTCGCTACAAAGACGGCAAAGTCATTATTTGCTCTTTCCAACTTATGTAATATACCATACTCTAGTTTTTTAGACATTAATGATCTTAAATAAATTTATATTAGAGTATTTCACATGTTTTTTATTAACATAATAATGTCCGCATACCATAATGACTTAATTAGGCGATACTATTGTATTAATATATACTTCCTCCGTCCCATAAAACATGGGATGTTTTGTTTTTTGAAGAGATTTAAGGGAGTATATTTTGGTATTGAATTTCTAAAAATGTCCTTTGATGTGATGGATAAAATTAGGATTTAATGGGTAGATTATTAGTAAAAAGATATGATGTGAAAGGTAGGGTATGAAAAAGTAAGGGGGTAAAAGTGACTTTTTAATAGAAATAAGAAGTATTTTTTTGGGACGGATGAAAAAAGAAAAGAGAAAGGTTTTCAGGGATGTATGGAGTATAATTTTGTGTTATAATAACTTTATAAACATTTATGACATTATATCTAGAATCATTATCACAAAAATTGTATTCATAACATTATGGTGTGAGATATTTTTACCTTAAAAAGCTTGTCAAGTTCTCTTTTCACAATTCATACACATATGTATGAGGCATTTTCACCAAATCCATGACACTATGACATTTTTCCTAGAAGACATTATTCACCAAAATTATTACATCTGCAAAAGTGCTACATAATTCTCATAATGACCTTTAAATTTGGACACTAAAAGACATATTCCATCCGTTCTAAAATTCTTGTTTTAATTTGTCTTTTGTAGTCTTTTTGATTATAAATTAAATATACTTTTAAATAAATAAATAAATGTATTTAAAATATATCTTAAAATATATTTTTTTATATAATTTGTAGTCAAAGTGAAAAAACAAACAATGTCAATAAATTTGAAAGAAGGAAAGTATAAGAAATCTTGTTACATATGGTATCTAATATAATTGAATAATGATTAAATTCATGTTTTTCTTTTCATATGGTATCTAATATAATTGGATATGGTATTTTGATATCTTTTATACTCTCTCCGTCCCACTTTAGATTACAATATTCCCTTTTAGTTGAAATTAAGGAAGAGTCAAATCAAAATTTTTTTCCCCAAATCCCCCCAAATAGTGTGAATAGTGGCTGACAGAAAAGAAAAGAGAGAATAAAAGAGTCAAATTACTATAAAGTTATTGACTTTGTAATTTTTTTTGGGACAAAAATGTGAGGGAATATTGTAATCTATTTCGGGACGGAGGGAGTATTAAAAAAATATATGGATTCATATTTTTTGAGTAATATTAAATTGCTTCGAAGTTTAATTGTGACCTCTTGTTAATCAAACGTTAGTCTCTATGGGACAAGTCCTGTTTTTTTTTTAAAAAAAAAGTGTTAAGTTTTAGCCCCATTTGTGTAAATTTCTCAAAAATTTTAGTTTTGTTTAGAAATACATACATTCCATTTCTTAATCTGACATCAATAATCACATATATAAATAAAAATAATTGCGTCCAAACATCGATCATATAAAAACACATAACACATGATACATTGATTAATTGATATATACTCCCTCCGTCCGAAAATATTCTTCTCATTTGACTTTTCTTGGTCAAAGTTTGTAAATTTTGACTATGATATGTGTAAAAAATACATTGTATTACGATATAAGTTTAATATGAATATACTCCCTCCGTCCACAAATAAAGTTCTCATTGCGCGTTACGATGTTTGACTGAAATTATTTTCAAATCATTTTATATGAAAAATGATATGGAATTAAAAAATAAAAATTACATATTTAAAAACTACATGAAAAGATCTACAAAACTAGAGGTGACATGACTATATTATTTTATCAAATAAGACACAAAAATAGGCCAACAAAGTGAATAAAGTTTGACCCTGTGAATAGTGAAAGGGAACATTATTTTTGGACGGAGGGAGTATTCATTTTGAAATATAGTTTTCAAATATTAAATTTTTATAAAATATATATATCCATGTATAAATAAAGATATTAGTGGTCAAAGTGCAATCTTGAAGACCATAAAAAATCAAATGAGAAGAATATTTCCGGACAGGAGTATATATACTTACAAATTAAATATCTTCACGTACAACATACACAAATTAAAACCAATGATACATATATGGATACATGATTATATTATATTATTTCACCTCAATGTTCTCATAAATATACATAGACATTATTAAAGAGTCAAGAGTGTTCCGCGGGCCGGCCGGCCGGACGCCGGCGACATGATTAGATCATGAGGAAATAGGCAAGCAAGGCGCCGGAGAAGATGAGGGTATCC